GTCCTTGCACGAACGAAACGAAATTTACCACAGAGCTTAAGGACATAATTTCACAGACGGCTACCAATTCGCGCTTTATTCTGCTTTTAATTGTAGCTGAAATTAAGCTTTTAAAAATAAGGATGTATGGGAGGTAGTCGTGTCCTTGCAACGATATTGCCGAAACTTCGAATTTTTCTTAATTTATATATTTTGAACCAGCGCACCAAATTTCATTTTTCTGCGATATCTCCCCTAGTTGTTCCGATTCACTATATGGGGGCGAAGCACTCTGCGACGCCCGTTATTGGAGTTCTAGAGACATTTTTTTCAAAATTATATTGGGAATTATGTACATACATGTGTAAAAAAATTACGACCACAAAAGGGGATATTTGAATATACGGGCATGTGCTGTAAATCGTACGATTTGAAATCGGTGCGATTTTCAAAATTTATTTTGGAGAGTTCTTAACAAAACGGAAAAAATTTGCCTCTAACGAATTATACCAGGACACCACGTCTGCGCCACAAATTTAAAAGTTTTTCGTCACCAACCAACACTTTTCCAGCTTTCAACTTCTCATATACCGCCACAACTCATTATTGAAACCAACCAGTCGCAAGGTACGTGGTTATATTCAGTGCACTTTATCAATATAGACATATTTTTATAAAAAAAAAAATAAATAAATAAATATCGTTTAATTTGCGTCAAAGCTCAAATATAAAACTACGCGAGTGCAAAGATAGCCATATAGCAGTAACTTTGTGAAAGCATCAACTTCGGGTTATCATATTCAAGTGATTCTCCACATTCGAGTGCCAACAGTTAGTGTTGGTTTAAAGTGTACACACACACACACGACAGTGAAAAGTGTTATATCCATTTTAAATTTAGTTGCAACATCAGCTTTTTTTGATTTCCGACTTTCTTGCTATCGTCATTAGATTAAATTCACTTTTTATGTTAGTTTCACTGAAGTAATCAATTTCTTGCACTAACCTCTTTTCACGATTCACTTGTCATTGGTTTGTGAACACATAACCTCACTTCTGCAATCTGCATGTTAATTAGCTTTGCAATTCAAAGTATTCACCGGAGTTTTTATCACAACTAGCCCTTAATTCACGTTATTCACTTTCACAAAGTCACTTTGTTGCATCTTGGCTCTATTGCTTTTTGATCTGCACACACTTTATTGTTTTATAAGGACGCTGCTGGTCCCTAGAAATACATATATATATACAGGTATATATCTGCACAGTTGGGTGGCGAGTTTTATTTGCATATACGTATCAAAGTTACATATATCCATAAACCTTTGCTGAAAAAATAATAATAATAATAATAAAGAATTGGAAAAATTACGAATATTTTCATTGTGGATACATTTTACAATCTTTGGCGGTTTTGGTATTTTTTGACTCTAGCGGCAAACAATTTGGTTTTTTAAAAATTTCAACAGGTTCGAATAATCTGCTACATATTTGCCTTTAGCATTATCAAATCTTCGAAAAGATTTTTAAATTTTTAACGAACTCCTGTTTTTTCTGTTGGTTGTAAACCCATCTTCAACCTCACAATGAATTCATTCATGAGCTTAGCGGAAGAATTGACAGAATTTGAGTCCGACTTTCTTGCTTCGTCAATATCAGAGCAAAATAAGCATGTCCTTGCGATTCAGCAAGAAGAACTCAGAGAGAAAACAAAACTAGCTTACGATGCCCTCAACACCTCTGAAGATTTTTCACAAGAAGATAATAGGACATACAGAAAAATAAATAGAGGCGCGTTTGCTAGTTATGTAAATTGCATGTCGTCTTTGGCTGCTCAGGCTGAGAAACTAGCAAAAGAAGAACGGGATGTAGAACAGAAGCCTATGCGAAAACACAATATTCACCTTCCACCGTGTGATATCGATGTTTTCAAAGGCGATTATATGTCTTGGCCAACATTTCGAGATATGTTCACGGCCATTTACATCTCGAATCAGGAGCTTACTCCAGTTGAGAAGCTATATTACCTCAACCAAAAAACCAGAGGGGAAGCCAAAGACATTGTGAATAAGTGCCTTATGACTAATGAAGGTTTCGCCACAGCGTGGAACAATTTGTGTGAGCGATACGAAAATAAGCGTATCCTCGTTAATACACAATTAAAAATTCTGTTTAATCTTAATTCCGTTGATAGTGAGTGTGGTAGCTCTATAAAAAGATTGCAGCCTGATATTAACAATTGCTTGTCATCCCTACAAAGTCACCAAATTGACATTTCAAATTGGGACGCAATTATTGTGTATCTTTGCTCTACTAAATTGCCTGACAGTACTTTGGCTCTATGGGAGCAAACCATAGACCACACAGGCACCTTACCGAAGTGGGAAGATATGGACATGTTCCTATCTAACAGGTTTCAAACCCTGGAAACCCTGACAGGCTTAAAGGGTACAAAAGCGGTTAAAGCGCCAAAGCCGCAAAACGCCAAAAACCCTTCAGAAGCCCATACCAAAAGACTTGGTGCATTCCAAGCAAGCGTGACCAAGTTCACTTGTACAATGTGCCAAACGAATGAGCACAAACTACGCCGCTGTTCCAAATTTTTGAAGCTTACGCCTGATGAGAGGTTTAATTTCTTAAAGAGCAACAACAGTTGCCTGAATTGTTTGAGTGCTGCAGATACCGTGACAAGGTGCACAAGCCCCTTTAATTGCAGCACTTGCCACTCGCGACATCACTCGCTCCTGCACATTCAGACAAATGTGCAAAAGGCAACACCGGCTCGCACGCCGGCTGGACCTGTCAATGACAATGCATCATCCTCCCAACAGGCTCAAGCAAAGCGCAGCTTTAATAATAGAACTCTTAACAATAAAAGCAAAAACGTTAAGTCTTGTTATTCTAACACGAATTCGGGTGTGCTCCTAGGAACAGCTCGCGTAAATATACGTCTCAATGGCACAGATTTTTCTGCTCGAGCACTTATTGATTCTGGTTCTGAGTGTTCGTTCATAACAGAACAACTTAAACGCAGAATCAACCTGCCAGCTAAGAGAATGCATGCCCAAGTTTGGGGCATTACGAATGCAACCTCTGTGCAGGTTAAAGAGGCATGCAGCATAGAACTTCGATCCCCAGTTGATCCATTGTTCAGCCTGCACGCAACTGTGCTCGTCCTAACAAAACTAACTGGAAATCTACCATCCTCAGCGCCATGACTATGCAGGCATTTCCAGGTCTTGTTCTAGCTGATAAACGGTTCTACGTTAATAAAGAAGTAGACCTCGTACTTGGCGGAGATATTTATCCCCAAATTATTTTATGCGGCCTGAAGAAAAATGTACTCAGTACACTTCTCGGCCAAGAAACCGTGTTCGGTTGGATATTAACCGGTTGCACAGATGCACCCAATCCAACCAACAATATAGTTTCGTATCACAGTGAAGTTGCCTTGGACAAACAACTTACTGCATTCTGGGAACTAGAAGACATATCAAAAACCAAAAGCTTGAACGAAGACGACAAATACTGTGATGAGCTTTATCGGAAGACAACTCGTAGACGAGAAGACAGAAAATACGTAGTCTCGCTACCATTTCGGCAGGAATTTCCCGCAAACATCTGCCTAGGCCCTTCTCTTAAAAAGCATGCTCTCAGTTCTTCCGGAATGAAACACGGCTTGCAAAGAATACCATCCTACAAAAAGAGTATAATAGGGTACTAGCTGAATATGAATCACTAGGACACATGTCCAGAATAAATGATAGTATTTCAGCAGACTCTTCCGATAACTACTATTTGCCTCACCAGGCTCTTGGCATAAGATGGAATGCCCATACGGATCTTTTCTATTTCATGGCAAGACCATTGGAGGACCGCGATACACTTACAAAAAGGGCGATACTATCAGCTATCGCCAAGCTATTTGATCCTCTAGGATGGCTTGCTCCAATAGTCGTCGTGACCAAAATACTCATGCAAAGTATTTGGCTAGAAGGCACAGACTGGGATGAGACTGTGTCTTCTATAACTTTGGAACGCTGGCAGAATTTTATCAAACATTACCATGAAATAGACAATATTAGAATACCTCGATGGGTACACTTCGCACCAGGAGATGACATCGAGATACATGGTTTCTGCGACGCATCTGAAAAAGCATATGCGGCTCCTGCATACATGCGCGTTAAAAGAGATGACAAAGTTTTGGTCAACCTTCTTTTGGCAAAAACCAA